CAATTAACATAAACAATTAACATTCTTTTACGTTATTGTCGCTTCTTTCTTGTTAATTAATTAATTACACTAATTTATGATAGCAACAATAGGTAGTAATTATCATTCATTTATTCGAATATGAAAGAAAGCAAGAGAAAGGGAGAAATGAATAAATATTATTGCAAAAAATGATTAGTTGATAAAAATAAACAAAAAAGAAGAGATCATTGAATTGTTGAAAAGATTTAAGATTAAGTTTAAGATTATCATTTTTATCCACTTTTCTTTCTCCTCTCTTATTTTCTTCATTCTTTTAATGACCTATGACCTTTCGTTTATTATTATTGACCCGTGTAGTGCTTTTATGGTTAATTCATTTAGCTTATAACTGAAATAACCCTACGCCCTCTTCTCTTTTATTTACACAATATCTTTACAAACTTTTGATAATGTATTTGAATTAAATATAAAGAAGAAAGAGATGAAGAAAAAGAAAAAGATTAATAGTTATAGGATTTTATGGAGAATTAGACAGTAAAATAATCAATGATAGATTTCCTGAATATGGTATGATGGTTTTATGACCTCCGGAAAAGAAAGGTAAATAGCGCGACATCCTTATTTGCAATGATCCATTTCATTTTACTCTTTCTCCTCCTCCTCCTATTCTTCCTTCTTCTCGTCATTCAATAATTCTTCTAAATCATTCCGGTTACTTTCAGTAATTATCATTATCTTTATTTTTTGTGTTTTCATGAAACAATCAACATACCGGATTTTGTTCTTCATCATGTTCATTTATTTTTCCGATTAAGCTATTCCTAATTTAATATAATGATGTTCACAAAAAGTTTAACATACCGGAATGTAACCGATTTTGTTCCTCCTAAACTTCATCATATTCATTTATTTTTCCGATTAAGCTATCATACCGGATTTTGTTCTTCATCGTATTCATTTATTTTTCCGATTAAACTATTTCTAATNTTAATATAATGATGATCACAAAAAGTTTAACACACCGGAATGTAACCGATTTTGTTCTTCCTAAACTTCATCACATTCATTTATTTTTCCGACTAAGCCATTTCAAATTTAATATAATGATAATGACAAGGAATAATATTTGTTTTAAATTTCATTAACATTTATATATGCATTTCAAATTTAAAATATAATCGATACGGATATTTAAATTTTTTAATCATATTTTTTAATTTATAAGAAAAAAGTTTTATCATAATGGATAAGTTTAATTAAAATTAAAAACAAAGAAAAAGGATTGGAATGAATTGATCGATAAAATAGCCATTTAAAATTGTTATTTCAATTTTTTCCTTTTCAACAAGCATATGAGATCTCTTTTCATCTCATAATTTATTACTCTTTGCAGTTTAGTTCATTTCCTTTTTTACGGTTATTATTTTTTCCTGAAATCCCACAAATGGTATTATTATATTTCTCCATATAATTGCCTTTTCAATACTTTATCAATTCCGTTTCTTTCCATTGTTTTGTCTCGTATAAACCTGTCACATTTTTATATCTTCCGGATTTTGAAGAAAAAATTGAATAATCATACTGAACGTTTTTATTTATTTTTAGTATAACCTGTCACATATTTTATATCTTCCGGATTTTGAATGAATAATCAATTATGATTCTGTTTTTGAAATTTATTGGAAATATAGTTACGATATGATTTCATCGGTAATCACAATTGCTATCAATTGCCTATCAATTTGTCTCAGTGCTGCTTAACGTTGAATGATACGCCGGAAAAGGAAGCCATAAATCCGGGATGACCTTGAATAAGATGATACATGCATATATATATATGCATGTATAGTAAGGCAAATATTTCGAATTAGATGATGCATGCATCAGTATGAGGTAAAAAATTGTTTTTATAGGTTTAGTATGGAAATTTAAAATGGGTTTAATGTGAGAATTCAAAATGGGTTCAATATGAGAATTCAAAATGGGTTTATATGGGAATTCAAAATGTGTCCGACCTGAAATAACTATACCTAAAATTTGAAATATATCATTTTAATCTAATTATGCTTAAAAATTGGAACATGCTGATGTTGGTATGATGAAAACTTTGTTCTCAATTATATCTGCATGATGTAAGTATGCTTGAAATTCGTAGATATATCACAACCGCATTATAAAAATGATATTTTTAATACTTAAAGTATTTGTATTAAAATTTAACTATCATTATTCTATCGATTTATTTACTCCATAAATTATAAAATGATTTAATTATGTTTATTAGATTATTTTTAAATATTGATTTTAAATTTCCATGTGTCTTTTTTAAATTTTAATAATTTTAATAATTTCAAATTTATGTTAATCAATATTAATTTAAGTTATTAATAATTATTAATCTAATCATTCTATAAACGTTTTACGATTACTGTATTATCTATTCCAATTATCATCATTTATTATCTATTCCAATTATTATCATTTATTATTAACTTAAATAATTATAATTTATTTCATCACTTGAGAGCATAGTAAAATTTTATTTTAAACTAATACAAAAAATAATTGCAACAAAATTAGAAATTTAATTTCATTAAAAAAAAAGTGGGAAAGAAAAGAAAACGCAGTGTTGCAGCAATTATTTATAATTATAATTATTCTTGGAGAATATTTACTTTCTCGGAAGTTTCTTTCGCGGTATCATATTCCCACTGAGTGAAATTCCCGTGGAGTCATGCTGATTTAATCTTTTCTTCGTCTACTAAACTTCTTTTATTCATTATTGCAAAATCTTTATTGCATGTGTAAAAGAAAGTAATTACAATTTTTTAATTAAAGTATATATGAAATATTTATAGAGATCTATCAATTACTAAATTCTATCGCTTTTTTTTTTCTCTTCTTAATCATTTCCAATATATTTAAATTTGATTTCCTTTTCGATAATAAAATGAAAGAACTATTTTTTTCTCTTCTCAATCATTTCCAATATATTCCAATATATTTCCATTTGATTTCCTTTTCGATAATGAAATGAAAGAACTTTTTTTCTCTTCTCAATCATTTCCAATATATTCCAATATATTTCCATTTGATTTCCTTTTCGATAATAAAATGAAAGAAAAAGAAAGATTTATTTTTTTCTTTTCTTAATCATTTCCAATATATTCCAATATATTTCCATTCGATTTCTTTTTTCGATAATAAAACAAAAAAGGAGAAAAATTATGGCAAATTTTAATTTTATAATTTCATTTCAATTTCGATTTTCTGTTTATTTTAATCATAAAAAGAAAATAATAGGAAGGCAATTTAGCGCAAAATTTTCTCTCTCATTAATATTTTTAATTTTATTAATATTTTAGCATTGATATTTTAATGGAAAAGAATTAGTATTTTAAAAGATATTATAATTCTTCATTGTTTTGTTTCAATTTCTTTTACTTTTAAATGCAACCATTTTTTTTTCCTATTTGACAGATATCATTTTACAAAGTATGAAGAAAAATTCATCGATGAATAATAATTTTTCGCTTTTTTTTATTTTATAGTATAAATAATTAGATAAAGTAATTTTCTTTCAGTATTTCCGATAAGTGAATAATCAGATTAATGCTAATAGCCAGAAATAATTTACTGATTCATGCGATGAACTATTTCCGTGATAAATGCAATCTATCAGCTTCTTCTAATTGTGTAGCAAATCAGTAAAATATTTTCAACTTATGAAATAGTCAAAATAATTGCTGCTAATGACGTAAGCAGGAATAACTGACAGTCTGAAACGTTTTAATAGTTTAAAACGGAAAAATGAAATCATTTCGTTTAATGCACTCAAAAATAGTACTAAGTGAAAAGGAAATTAGTTAACTATTTGAAGGCTAATTTAGTGATATTTTAAATTTGTTAATTAATTGATTTTATATTATATCAATTTTTATTTAAAATTTCACTCATTATTTTTTCATTTTAAAATTTCTTAATTAATTTTTTTTTAAGTTAAATTAATTAAATTAAAAAAAATGCAAAATATTTTTTTTTCATATAATTTAAATAATAAAATTGATATTTTATTACTCTTTCTTTTTCTTTAAATAATTTTTTAGGCATATATTTATGGCTATAAAATAAGATTAGCAACAGCTGCATTAGCAATAAAGATAATAGTTAATCATAAAATAATAATAATGGTAATAGTACTTATCATTATTATCAGATTATTGATGTTAATATCAATGGTGAAATCTTTTTGACAAAACATAATTGCTTTCAAATTTCCTTTTGTTGTATGAAAGAAAAATTATCATTTAAAAAACAAAAAGAAATATTATTTATTTCGATTACTGAGATTATCACAGTTATCATTCATCTTTAAAATGTTTATTAGATTAATCATAGTTATTATCTTATCACCTGTAAAACGTTTATTAGATCATCATAGTTATTGTACTGTTGTAAAATTACCTGTAAAATCTTTATCAGGCTATCGTGTTATCATGGTTTGTCGTGTCACTTGTAAAACCTTTATCGGATTATCATGTTATTGCCAACTAAAGTCATAGTTTAACGAATGTATAAGATGGTGATTAAATAAGGAAATATAAAATAAATGTATTATTTTATATTTTATTTATGAAAATGTGAAAATGGATAAATGAATTTAAATATTTTAAAATTCGTTAAAATTAATTACAATAAATTTTAATTGCTAATTGTTTTATATTAAAATTTATTAATAATTCAGAAATTTCTTATTTTATTTCCAATAAATTTAATTATTATAGTATTTGAATTATAATTAATTATTTGTATAATAATATTTCTAAATTTTTAGTACAAATATTAATTATTTTAATTTTCTTTGAAGATATTTTTAATTATTTTAGCAATTTTTTTTTTTAATTATTTCTATTTGAAATTTTAATTTTCTTTTTTGTGCAATTTATTTTGAAAGATCGTTGCATTATCTTTCCTTATCTCTAATCAATATTTATTGATAATTTTGAACAAAATTTCAGATGTCCTATCAACGACAGTTATTCTTGCAATGGTGGTTTTTCTTCTTAATTATTAATATATTAGGTGATCGTTATGATTTTCATTATCCATCATCATCATTATCATCGTCATCATCATCATCATCTTCATCATCGTTATCATCATCTTATCTTCGAAGGTATACTAATAGAGATGGCTTAACTTCTCAACCTAGTGGAATGCATAGAATTATGAGTAAGTCAAAGTTTTATTTAAATTATTTTAATTAATATTTTTTAAAGAAAATTCCATAATGATAGGAAGGAAGAATTTGAAAGAGAATGAAATGAAATATGAATTTAATAATTTATTTTAAGACAATTAGTTCGTAATTAATGCAAATGCATAGAAAATTTGAATAAATTTTAAAATGCAAATTAACAATTAATTAATTAAATTAAAAATAATACATTTTTTCTTGTTTTGTTTTACAAGTAATGCTAATATAATTGGTCCAAAAAAAAATTTGATAAGATATTGATTAGATTATGATTAAACAAAAAAGAAATTTGCAAAAATTTATCATTATGATAATTTGATTGATTTTAATTTGCAGAAATTTATCAGTATGATAATTTGACTGATTTTTTGATTTGCAGAAATTTATCATTATGATAATTTGACCGATTGTAAAAATGCATGTGAAATACCATGTGATACAACTTATGTGATCCGTAATGATATCGATGAACGACGACAATTTATTTGTATGCAACGTAAAGCACCTGTTGTTTCAGCATTTATTAATATTAGCACTAATGGCATTTTTCCAATTATTTTAACTGCTACATTGGTTTGTTTAATTTTTGGAAATATTGAAATTTTTTTAAATATTTAAATTTTAATCATTAAATTTTAATAATTAAAATTATTTATTTTTCATAGATTAATTTTTATTTAATTTTAAATTTTAATTTTAGAAATTTGTAATATAAATTTGCAAATACATTCATATAAAGCAATAATATGATAGAATATTTCATCCTTATATATTCTTGTATACTATCAGCAGTAAATTAAAATAACTAATTAAATTTTTTGAACAATTAATTATTATTTTTGCTTAAAATATATTAGTCAGAAATATATCAGTCTTAAAAATATATTAGTCAAAAATTATGACCTATTTTTTGCATCAGATATTCCAGATATCATGTGGTTTGCTGATAATTACCTGTTGCTGTTGCATTCGTTATGGTTGTGCATGTTGCCGAAAGATGTGCAGTTCCAGAAATTCATCAAATGATCCATTGGTAAATGGTGAATTTAGGGAAACGCTTGATTCAAAAGATATTGGTTATTTGAAAAAAGAAGTTGACAGGAAAATTATTACTGTATAAAATTTTATTCATTTAATACATTTCAAATGCTCATTTTAATTCTACTAAATCTTTTATACAATAAAAAAATAGATTAAATGATTATTTTAACAAATGTGCATTTGTTATTGCTATCAGTTTTTATATTATGATTGTTTTAATCTATCATAATTATATTGTAATTGAATAATTAAAAAGGGATATGTATGTATTTAATTTTCCATTTTTGCTAACAGCTATAAAATTAGCTTCAAATAGTAGTATTATTCGTTGAAAAATTTAGCAAACATTAAAATTTAATTTAAATTAATTCCTAATATTGAATCATTTACAGATGTTAAAATTTTAGGTTATTCATTTAGCTAACAATTTGGGGTTTTTCATTTACAGTTGAAATTTTAGATTAAAATTTTAGGTAACCTTTTCATGTCCATTCAAAGCTTATGCTTCATTTACAAGCCTATAAAGTTAGCTAAATGATTAGTTATGTCCATTTTTTCAATTATTATTATTATTATTATTATTATTATTACTTATCACTAATCAATTGTTAATTGATTAAACAGATTATATAATCTTTTTTTTCTTTGAAAACTTTTGATATGAATTATTGAATTGTTATCAGAAATTTATCATTTAATTTATCCGCATTTTTTTCCATATATGAAATGTATTTAATTCTTTTCATTTATTCATTGATCAAATTATACAAATTTAATTGTATTATATGTTAATTAATTTTAAGGCAGCTTTGTCACTTACTTCTTTAATGTGCATTCTTGATCTCGAAACTTTCTCCGATGGCCAATCTAAATACTCCAAACGTAATTCACCTTTAACCTTTCTATACAATAGTAAATAAATTGGATGAAAAACATTTTCAACAATAATTTTATTAATTTCTCCTTCAAAGTTTGGTCTATCAAAATAGCATATGCATTTCACCAATGTTATTTAAATTTGGTTTACTTTTTTATAATTTTTCCTAATATTAGCCTAAAATAAATGATGCATTATGTGATACGATAAACATCAAATCATTCCAATTCCATAAATTTAAATATAGGAAAAGAATTTATAAACAAAATTTTATAAATTAATAGAAATTAAAAAAAAAGACAATCGAAATTTTATAAAAACTATAAAATATTTTATTTCAATAAAATATTAAAATAAGATGAGTGGAAAATTATCTTAAAATAAAATACGAAAAAATTGATGAAATTAATTTATCGATTAAACACAAATATAGCGATAGTTTCGCTAATTTATCTTACATTTCCGGAACCGAAATACAAACAAAAAAAAAAACCGGATAACTAGGATAACAAAGCAAAAAAAAAAACTTTCGGTCTATCAAATAAGCATATGCATATTTCATCAGTGTTATTTTAAAATTTGTTTACCTCTTTAATATTTTTCCTATTATTAGCCTAAAATAAATGATCCTAAAATAAAATGACGCAAATCATTGATATAATTCAGGATAGGTAATTTCACAATTTCACAAATTAGGTGAACAAAAAAATATATGTGTAAGTTGTTTTGTTTATTATTATAACAAAATTTTATTTGATGTTGTAAATTTTCCTTCTATGTATGGATGTATATATGTGTATTTTTTTCAAAATTAGCTTTTTTTTCAAACTTTTTAAAAAAATTGAAATTTATGTCTTTTTCTAGAATTTCTTTATTACATGTATTATATTAGAAGAAAGGTTAAAAGGTTACATGTATTTTTTTTGAAATTTCTCTTCTTTTTTTCATTCTTACAACTAATTTTCTTATCTTAAATCATTTGGATAATTTTTGTCTAATATTAGAAGAAAGGTTAAAAGGTCATCATTCATAAAAACGAATTATGCAATATCATTACTTTTAAAGCTTTCATCTGTTGTCAATTTTATTATCATTTTTTTTCTTTGATTATCTCTATATCTGGTCATTATGAAATGACATCTTTCTTTTTGAAAGTAATAAATAATATGAAAATCTAAGAAAAATTGTTTATTCTTTTGACAATACTTATAAAAACAATTTACTCGTATGTTTATCAAAGGTATATTTGGCGTAATTGACGTATGTATATGTGTATAAATAAAAACGAAAATATATTATGTAAAAGTAATAAAAGTAAATTACCTGCATATTACCTATATGATATAATAAAGAGGAAAGGAATAGAAAGAAGGAAAATAATAGTAATTATATGTGTGACGTAAATGGCGTACGTATATGTATAAAAACGAAGATATATTGTGTAAAATTAATAAAAGCACATTACCTGCATATTACCTGTATAACATAATAAAGAGGAAAAGAATAGAAAGAAGGAAGATAAAGTAATTGTATGCGTGGCGTAATTGACGTATGTATATGTGTATAAATAAAAACTAAAATATATTATGTAAAAGTAATAAAAGCAAATTACCTGCATATTACCTATATGATATAATAAAGAGGAATGGAATAGAAAGAAGGAAGATAATAATAATTATATGCGAACTTTCCATTAACAAAATTTTGTATTAGTTTGTTTATTTAGCATAAATTAACATTATACAATATTTGTTCAACAATTCTTAATGGAAAAGTGAAAAGTGTAAATAAATATTTCAATATTATTACCAACGAGAAAGTTGAAAATTGTGGGAAATTCGACATCGTTGCATCAAACTAAATCTTTTTCCTTTTTTTTTTTTTTTTGAATTATTAATTTCAGGAAGAAGAAAAATGAAATTTTATGAGCGATAAATGTATTAGAAAAGAAATAGTTTAGATAGAAATGATAAGACAAAAAAATGACTTATAGAACTGATTAATGATTATTGATTAATGATTAATGGACCAATTTTTAAATTGATCAATCAATTTAAAGTTATTTGAAAAATTCGAAAATTGGTTTAAGAAAAAAGAAGAATGTTAAAACAATGGAATTTTTTTTTACTACAAAAAAACGGCTAAAATATTAATACTACAAAAGAATGTGTTTTTAAATTATTTTTCAAAACAGAAAAGTTGTAACTTTTAAAAGTTTTTAAATATCAAGTGGTACTTATTTATTTTTTAATAGCAAAATTTCAAGTTTGCTTACATTTAAATATTCGAAATATATTTGAATTTAAAATATCCAAAAATTTTTTTCTAAGAATATATTTGAATTGAAAAGGAAAAAATCGTTGGATAAGTTTTCGTAACTGATTATTTTCGTTAAAAAAAAACTTTTTGAAAAACATAGGAAATAATTATTCAATATCGATATTAAATATCAATAAATAATTACTCAATATCGATATTAAATATCAGTAAAGAGTTATTTAATATTAATAAATAATTATTCAATTTCTGTTCTTTAGCGGAAACATTATATTAATTTATATATTAATCTTATGATACATGCTAATCTTATGATATATACTTATGATATATAACTTATGATATATTAATCTTATGATTCAGGCAGTTATTGTTTATGCATTTTTCCTTATATGTTATGCAATAATTATGGGAAATGGTAGCTTTCGTTACCTAATGATTTAGTTGTTAATTCCTAGTTTATTATATAAATTCATAATAATAAGTTATATGGTGAAATAATCATAAATGTTATAGAAAATGTTAGTGTTAATTAATACTATCAGTCGAACAGCAATAACAACAACAGCAACAACAACAATAGTATTAGTAGCAGCAGTAGCATTATTAAGGAATAAGGTGAACGAATTGTGTAATATTGACAATTAATTATAATAATTATCATAAGCCTTCATCAATATGTAATAAAATCATTTACTATAAATTTCTAATCGTATCATTTCAAATCCAATTTCAGATTATTATACCTGAGGTAAAGAATGAGACTATTCTTCTGGCAGCTAAAATTCTTCATAACATCTTAGTTCGAAGAAAAAATTGCATTCAGTGATACATAGAATACAAGATAATCCACCGTTAAACATAAAGATCAATTGAATTGAATCATATAGATAGATTGATTAGAGGTATAGTTTAAACTAGATCAAAATGATCGCGACTTCAAAAATCATATGATCGTTGTTGAAAATTCAGTTGTTTCATGCTTCAGCTTTCAAAATATATATATATATATCTTTTATTAGTAGGAACAATGAAGTGATATAATTTAAATTTAAATTTCAACTTTACATTCTGCATGTACAGCTATCAATCACTGAAATTACAAATGCTATCGAGATAATAAAGATTAAAGAATTTCGTAGCAAATGTTATTTTTGTCTCCTTCTTTTCCATTTTTCATTTTTCTTAATTTTATACTTTCTAATTTTCTCATTTCCTTTTTCCGTTTCCTTTTTTCCGATTGTCTTCTCTTCTTTTTCGATTTCACATTTTTTTTTTTAATTTCCTCATCCTTTTCATGGGTGGTAGTATCTTTGATTTCTTTTTTCAACAAAATAAACTATGATAAGTAAATACAAACATAAAGTTAACTTCCACTAATGAGTTTTCAATCTTTTACCATCAATTTATATTTCGTAAAATAGTTCTTTCATACCTTTTCAACAACGAACTCATATCTAATTTCCTAGAAGTTTGCATATGTTTTAAGGAAAGATTCCTGTAACATTTAGTTGCCACTTATCGTTCAATTCAATTCCTTGAAGTCAAAAAATTAGTATACCGGAAAGTCTAAACTTCATTTAACAAATACTTAAACAAATTCTTGGTAGTCTTTTTTTAGAGCGAAATCAAACTTCATTCTTTTCTTCCTACTTGCTATAGAGATTATCTTTTCAAAAGATTTGTTTTAAAACATATGATAAATAAAAATTGAGCTTCATTAAAGGTTAAAACGTAAGGTTAGTTCACCGAAAAACTTGAACTTAATTTACAAATACTGGAACAAATTCTTGGTAGCCTTTTTCAAAGTGAAATCAAACTCCTTTCTTTTCTTCCTATTTACTATAAAAATTATTTTTTCAAAAGATTTGTTTGAATACGAAAAATGAAGATATAAGCCTACGTGAAAAATATGAAAAATGAAGATATAAGCCTACTGACAAATACGGAAAATGAAGATATAAGCCTACGTGACAAATACGGAAAATGAAGATATAAGCCTACGTGACAAATACGGAAAATGAAGATATAAGCCTACGTGACAAATACGAAAAATGAAGATATAAGCCTACGTGACAAATACGTATAAGAGATATTCATTCTCTCTCACATTTTCCTAATTCCCTCATTTTTCTCATTTTTTTTCTTCATTGTTCCCTTTATTTTTTTTCACTTTCATCTTTCTCAGAACCATTCATTCATTATGCCTATATTTTGCACGTTCTTTATGATTTTGCACGTAAGTGCTATTTTTATGTTTCATTCACTTGAAAATTGGTCTATTCTTTTTCTCTCTGCAAAGGATGACAATTAAGAGAGATTTGTGTTTTGCTTTTATTTCTTACTAGAAAACAAATGTTAGCTTATTTTTATTTATTAAATTCTTATTTATTATTTATTAAATTATTTATCATTTATTTATTAAATTCTTATTTATTATTTATTAAAATCGTTTATTTATTAAATTCTTATTTATTTTTTATTAAAATCATTTATTTATTAAATTCTTATTTATTATTTATTTATTAAATTCTTATTTATTATTTAATTATTAAATTCTTATTTATTATTTAATTATTAAATTCTTATTTATTATTTATTTCTTAATTCTTATTTATTATTTATTTATTAAATTTCATTTCCTTTTAAATTTTTATTTTATTTATTAAATTTTTATTTATCTTTGCATTTATTTATTTATCAAATACTAATAATTCAATTTCAATTTTATTTCAATCAATTCAAATTTATATTCATTTTCATTCTTGCTTTGCAAATTTATGAAATTTATATTAATAATACGAATATCATCTTACACTCCTATCTTACTTCTATTAAAGAAAATTGGTAGACATATGTGCAATTAAGATATATATGTTATCGATTTTAAATATTATATCAAAATTTGAAATTTATTTCATTATGAATACTTTCTTGTAGATCTTTTTTTTTCAGTATTAAAATTTATTTTAGTATATTTTTGAAACAAATGTACAAATGATATTCTTAAATTTTTTGAATTTCTTTCCCTCAAAATTTTGTTTTCAAACAATTTAGGAAGATGTCAAAGGTTAAAGTTTATCAGAAATAAGCAATGCTCACTTTTAAAACTTCATCTGTTGTCGGCCTTTTTTTGACTATCTATATCTGGTCATTATAAAACGACGTTTTTCTTTTTGAAAGTAATAAATAATATGAAAATCTATTTTGGCAATACTTATAATAACAATTTACTCGTACGTTTATGAAAGATATATTGGCGTAATTGACGTACGTAAATGTGTATAAATAAAAACTAAAATATATTATGTAAAAGTAATAAAAGTAAATTACCTCCATGTTATCTATATGATATAATAAAGAGGAAAAGAATAGGAAGAGGGAAGATAATAGTAATTATATATGAAATTCACCTAACGAAAACATATACTTATCTATTTGCTTGGAATAAATTAAAATTTCACATTAGTTGCTCAATAATTCTCAGCCCAAAAAGAGTAATTTGATATTTCAGTATTATTTCTATGAATGTTCAAATATGAAAATTTATGGGAAATTCTATTTAATAGTATCAAATTCTTTTTGTTTTTTAATTATTAAATTTCAAAATAGTGCGTAGAAAATAATGGAAAAATTGAAATGCATGAATGATAAATCTTGAAATCTATCCGGAAAATATTTCTGAACGGAAATGATCAGGTGAATATGATCAAATGTAGCAGATTAATGTATCACTTAAATAAATGCAATTTCAGTTCAATTAAATAAATACAATTTCAGTTAAATCAAATAAATATAATTTCAGTTAAAATAAATAATAATTATTCATAATTTCAAATTAAATTATTTAGGAATAATTTTTCGACATTTACAATCACAGGTATTAAAAAATATTTCATCTTAAGCAATGATTATTTATTTTGTTGAAATAATTATTTGCTCTATTTCATTCAATCAATTCAGGTAATACTGGAGAATTCAAATATTAATTTTTAGTACTTTGCAAAATTCTTTTTTTAAAATTTTAGTAATGAAATTTTTTCGAATTACCAAAACGACCAAAATATTAATATCAAAAACGAATTGTATTTTAATCTTTTATTGCTATGAATAAAATTCATTAGCAATAAAAGGAAACGATCATATAACGAAATTATCATAAAATTCGTAAAAATAACGATTGATAAATATAATTTGAAAAATCGTAAAAAATTGCGGAAATTTCCTTTGATGATTTTTTTATTTGCTAAATTTGAACGAAATCGTTGAAATTTTAAATTTCAATGGAATATATATTTGTTTATAATAGTGAAGTTTGCATTATATATATATATGTATAAGTGTATAGGAATATATAAAATGAAATATATAAAAACGATAGTATAAATATATAAGAAATATATGAATATATAATAGTGTATAATATATACAGTTATATATCAAATTACTCGTCACTTCCATAGGTTAAAGTCAGGTAGAATTTTTTTGATATTAAAATTTAATCTGTTCTTCTTGCCAAATGTTAGGTAGATGCTAAAATTTAACCTGTTATTCTTGCCAAATATTGGGTAGATGTTAAAATTTAACCTGTTATTCCTGCCAAATGCTAGAATTTAACCTGTTATTCTTGCCGAAAATCAGGTAGATGTTGAAATTTAACCTGTTATTCTTGTCAAATGTCAGCTAGATGTTGAAATTTAACCTGTTATTCTTGCCAAATATTTGGCAGATGTTGAAATTTAACCTGTTATTCTTTGAGGCAAAAATCATTCCTTCTGTTTTATTCCTTTTGGTTGAAAAATTTCATCCTACTTCCATTTATTTATTTATTTATAATTCGGTTCAAGGGTCAAGATTTTGAGAAGGTATTATAATTCGGTTCAAGGGTCAAGATTTTGAGAAGGTATTATAATTCGGTTCAAAGGTCTCAAGATTTTCAGCAGTTTTCTCTCTCTCTCTTTCTTTGATTTTATAATTTTCCTCCTTTTATAGTAATACTATTTCGTGAAATATAAAATGTCACTTCACTTCTTTTTTTATAAGCTAAACAATCCATTCCTCTATATCTAATCCTATTTCGTTATCCATTTTATATGAGAGAAATCTCTCAATACTATTTTTTTTAGGAAAAATTTTATTGTAAACATTTTTTGCGTCAAATTTATTCATTATTCATTGAAATATTTCATAATAATATAGCCTTAATTTTTTGACGATTTTTAAATTCATTAGCGTAACACAATCCGGTATATTGACAGATGAATTGATTGTGTGCTCGCACATCGATAAATATACCTCCATCCAAGTGAATATTATTTATTGACTCATCGTCAACTGTAACATATATCATTATAATGAAGATTAATTTTGAAATTTTATTTTAAGCACATATTTTATTTGCAATTTCTATAATTAGTCATGATAGTAATAATTATTAATCATAGTAGTAATAATAATAATTAATAATAATAATAACTGATTAAAGTTTAAATGAGTAGAAAAAAATTAAAAAATTTTTTTGAAAAATATAAAAAACGATTTGAAAAATATTAATTTAATAATAACATTTTTTTCAATTTCTATAATTAGTCAAAATAATAATAATTAATTAGGGTAATAAATAATAATAATAATAGTAGCAAAAATAATAGTGATAATAATAATTATTAGTAGTAATAATAATTAATTAAAATAATAAATGAATGGAAAAGAGATTTGTTGAAATTTTAAAAAAAATATAATAAAGGATTTGAAAAAACAAAAATGAAACGAAACTTAAAATACCATCATCTTTCATGTTCATTGCCATATTAATAATTCGACAATCTGTTCCACCGGAAGCAACTCCAACAACATTCCATGTACCGTTTTCAGTTTTGAACATTAATCCGGAACCACTATCACCCTATTTAAAGAATATTTTATTTGAATTGCATAATTTCTTATTCTCTACGAAGATTCGAAAATTTAAAATTTAAATTTTAAAAGATCAAAATATTCCTAATTTACCGAACACATATTTGTTTCCTGTAATTCAGATATACATAACTGATCATCTTTTCCATCCGGATTTGATTTTTCCCGAATACAATCGATACGTGTAACATTTATTTTTGCTAATGCTGTTATTAGTTTTGTTTTAGTTGCTAGAAAAAATAAATTATATATTATTAAAATATATTACATACACTTATATATTATTAAAATTGATAGTATATTTTTTAATTAATTAAATTTTTTTAAATTTAAATTTAAGTATTAAAATTTCTTAAATATTATCAAAAAATTAATGACAAATAGTATCATTTGCCTGAGAGAAGATAATTCATTTGTGAAATTATTGCAAAATTAGTAAATTAATTAATTATAAAATGAAAATTTTTATAGCTAAAAATAACAATAGCAATATTCATTATGAAAATATGATTGCATAAGATAATTAGCCTAAAAACTTACGATCGGAACCTCTGGAATATAAATTGAAAGTACGTGGTATCATATCATTTGGTTGTGCAACGCATGCAACATCATCAAGTGGTGCCGAAAATATTATAACACTTAAAAAAGATTTTTGAAATTTTCGAATAATTAATTAAAAATTGAATCTTCAAAAAAGAAATAAATAAAAACCATTCGTAGTTTAACAGTAGCAATAGCAATATCATTATGAAAACATGATTGCATAAGATAATCAGCCGGAATAACGATCTGCAACGATATGAAAATAATATACAAAATACCCTACAACTATCTGCAACAATATGAAAATAATATACAAAATATCCTACAACTATCTGCAACAATATAAATAAAGATAATATGCAAAATATTCTAGAAAACAAATGATTTATATTTTCATAATATATTAATTATTGAATTAATTATACAAATAATTGTTTGTCCTTGTTTTATTTTTTATTTACTTTTAAAAATAATCGATAAAATTTGATAATTTATTAATTTAATAATTTATATTTAAAAAATTTGATAATTAAAATTTGATTTGATAATTTATTACAAAATTAATTTGAATAACAAAAGCATGAAATGATTTCCAATTGAGTGAATTTAAAATTTTGAAATGTTTCAAAATAAATTTAAAGTAAAATTTTGCTACTAAAATAAAGGTTATTTAAATTTTGATATGTTAATTAATTAATCAATTAATATTAAGTCGTAATCCCTTTTCTCTTATTCTTTTATAATAAAATATAAATAATGATTACATTTTTAACATTTACTGATCGTGCAATCTGCTGAAAATTTGAGCAAACATCTTTAGCAAACGGTAAACAACCACCACCATAATATACTTTCCAATTTTTACTCTTTCTAGTTTGAGTTATTGTTCCGCTGCAAAATTATTCCAAATCATTTCGAATAATTCATTAATTAATTTTTCCAACACTAATACAACTAATAACTCTATCATTTTGCATTATATCATTATACGAATTAATTATATTTGAAATTTCTTAAAACAACAAAAGCATCGAATAATTTCCAATCAAATAAATTTAAAAATTAAAATTTTAAAAAATAAAAAATTTGAAAATTAAAAAGTTTAAAAATTAAAAATTTAAAAAGTAAAAAATTTAAAAATTTGAAAACTTAAAATGTTTTAAATCAAATTTAAAGCAAAAAAATTTTTGCTAATACAATTAACTAATACAAATACTAATTTTTTTTTACTAATACAAATTAGTTAAATTTGTGTTTTTACTAATTAGCAAATTAGTAGTTTTACTAATACAATTTTTGCTAATACAATTAGCAAATTAGTAGTTTTACTAATACAATTTTTGCTAATACAATTAGCAAATTAGTAGTTTTACTAATACAATTTTTACTAATACAATTTTTCTAATTTTATGAAATTTCAAAATATTAATTTATGCCGAAAAATAATTTATGCAAAGAAAAATATAACGTTAGTTTTTTTAACAAAAAAAATAAATAAATAAATAAATAAAAATTAGGAAAAGGATAATTTTAATTAAATGATATCACACCGTTTACAATCTTTTCGAATGAAACAATGAGCAGCTGTTAATACATGCCTATCTGATATCATTGTACCAGCGCAATTTGTTCGCATATCTCAAATTTGAAATTTTAATTTCATTTACTCTATAAAGAATTAGTAAGCATAGAAGAGAAATGAGAGTAAAAAAACTTGCTGAATTTAGTATTATTAAAAATAGGATATGAAATTACAAAAAGAAAAAAACAAAGAAACTTTATTAAGTTTATATTTAAATAGGATAATTGCTATAAATATAAAATTATAATTTGAATGATAAATAATTTAAACAAAAAAAAAGAAAAATAATTAGCTTCAATTAATTAATGAAAATGGTCCAATTTTATACTTGTTTACTTGTTATTATTATTTTTATTAATATTTAATTACTTATTATTTTTTATTAATATTTATTTATTTATTATTATTTTTATTAACATCTGATTATTTATTATTTTTTTTATTAATATTTAATTATTTATTATTTGATTACTCATTATTATTTTTTATAAATATTTGATTACTTATTGTTTTTTTATTAATATTTAATTACTTATTATTTGATTAATCATTATTTTTTATTAATATTTGATTACTTATTATTATTTCTTATTAATATTTAATTACTTAATATTTGATTACTTATTATTTTTTATTAATACTTGATTACTTATTATTATTTTTATTAGTACTTGATTACTTATTTTTTATAACATTTGATTAGTTATTATTAGTATTGTTTCTTATTAATATTTGATTACTTATTATTTTTTATTAATATTTAATTACTTATTATTATTGTCTATTAATATTTGATTACTTATTAATATTTCTCACTATTAAATGATTACTTACTATTCTAAATTTTTTTTTTTAAATTAATTATTGAACAAAAAAATTCAATGGAATAATTAATTTTTCCTTTAATTAGTTTTTTTGTGCAATTTTTTTCACAATTAATTATTAATGATAAGGTGTAGTAAAATAATTTATTATTATCATATATTTTGCTGAGTTTTTACTATTTTCTTATTGAAGCAATTAGTGCTTTATATTATATGACTAATTTAATTAATATTACTAAATAATAGAATTCATTTAAAAAAAGAAAAGGTAACTAAATTTGTACTATGTTTTATATGTTCTAAATAAACTGAAAATGGTGCTTCATTTTGCTTTACGTTAATACCACCCATTAGGAAACGCATCGCATTATTTCGTTGTATATCGTTTATCGCTTCACGTGCAACACGTCGATGATGCATAAAATTAATTCGATTAATTATATTAATATTATTTTTCTTTTAAAGTTATATATTGTTTTAAACAATTATATTGCTAATTTATCTATGAATTAATTAAAGCTTCTATTAAAGATGAAAAACTTCGAAAAATAATATGAAAAAAAATGGTTATCAGTTATGTTCATATATGATATGTATATACACGTACCTCAACTCATGCAAGTTTAAATCTAGTAGTTTCAACAATATGAAACAAATATAAAGTATGTTATTGATAAAAAAATGTTATCAGTTACGTTATCAGTTAAACATATATAAAGTACGTTATTGATAAAAAATGTTTAGTACTTTATATACTGATAGATATACATATCTTAACTCATACAAGTTTAAATTTAGTAGCTTTAACAATATAAAACATATATAAAGTATGTTATTGATAAAAAAATGTTATCAGTTACGTTATCAGTTAAATATATGAAGTACGTTACTGATAAAAAATGTTTGGTACTTCATATACATATCCATATCTTCTTAACATATCTTCTTAACTCATGCACACATATCTTCTTAATTCCATATCTTCTTAAATCATGCAAGTTTAAATTTAGTACTTTCTAATAATATAAAACACATATAAAGTAAGTTACTGATAAAAAAAAATGTTATCAGCTACGTAATCAGTTGAACGTATATAAAATACGTCATTGATAAAAAATGCTTAATGCTTTACATAATGATAAATATACATATTTTAATTCATACAAGTTTAAATTTTAAATTTTTAATACTTTTAACAATATGAAATATGCATATATAAAGTATGCTAAACATAACTTATCATTAACATACTCATCTTTTATTATTGTGCAAAGAAAACTATTTTTCATATCGTTGTATGTATTAAATTTTATACGTATATAAATTAAAACAAAATATAATTAAAACAAAAAAACAAAATATAAAACAAAATTTTTAACCTGAATTAATAGGAATTAAAATAAAATATAATTTAATACTTTTTAACAATATGAAATATATATGTATATATATGTAATAACAAAATGTTTAATTGAAAATTATTTAATTGTAATTTTAAATGATACGATGAAAAGTATAAACGACGCACGTCAAAATTATTTTCCTCATCAGCTCTACATCTGATTCGTAATTTTTCAACTTCATTTGCTGTCAATCGTGAAAATAATTCCGTTGTTACATCAGCAATTAATATCATACCATAAATCCATATATATATTATTCTAAAAAAAAGTTTAGCATTTTTTTATTAAATTAAATTTAACATTATTAATTACTTTTAATTTATTTAATTCCAATAGCTCTATCAAATTTTACTCATTTAATTTGCATATTATCGCATTCATCTATCTAATATATAAAAAATTGAAAGAATTATAGCAATGGAAGAAATTGTTTATGAAATTTGTTGAAATTATTTTACAAGCTGATAACTTATGATATGTATTGATAATGTATTGATATGTATTGATAAGTAGCACAAGCTGATAACTTATGATATGCATTGATTAACTTATGATATGTATTGATAATGTATTGATATGTATTGATAAGTGGCACAATCTGATAACTTATGACATGTATTGGTAATATATTGATATGTATTGATAAGTAGGACAAACTGATAACTTATGATATATATATATATATATATATATATTGATAATATATTGATAAGTAGCTGAAAAAAAAAGTAATAACAAAGTTGTAATTAGTGAAAAAGGAAAATTTTTTAATTATTATCAAATTTTAATTTCATTAGAAAAAAATTTCTGGGTGAAAAGTAAATTTATCAAAAAAGAATGGATCAAACCTTTTTTTTTGATTTCATCTTCAAATATGCTTGTATTAAAATGCTAACTTTATTATCAATTAAAAATTTCTTCTTAATAATTAATTATTCATGATTCTTAATAATTGGTTATTAAGAAGAAATTCATGAAAGGAAGCTAATTAATTATTGAATTATTTAAATTACTCGAATAAATCAATTAACAAAATAATCTGGTATAAAGTTTTAAATAAGACAAAGATCTAATAGCAAACCTGTAAATCATTATTGACAAATATCAAGAAGAATTAAAAGGATTATGGGAAATTTTTAAAATCTCTCAAATTATCTTTTTATTTCATACATATTATTTAAAACGAAATGATTCATACTTATATGAAATATACACTCATAAAAATGATAATTTCCATTTATTTGACATAAAATATTAAAATCAAATAAAGTTTAAAATTGTGGGAAAATGTCGGTATCAGTCTTTGATAAGAAATGAAAAAAGAAATTTTCGTTTTTATTGTTTTTATAAATTTTCTTTTATTATTATTATTTCCTGTATTATAAATTCTGCCAAATACTTATATGTTATATAATATAAAATAAATAATTTGCAATCAAAAAAGAAAATAATCGATAATTTGCAATCAAAAAAGAAATCGATATACTTAAATGTTATATAATATAAAATAAATAATTAGCAATCAAAAAAGTAAATAATCGATAATTTGCATTGAAAAGTAAAAATAATTGATAATTTGCAATCAAAAATAAAATAATCAATTTTCTCATTTATTACTTCATATCAATAAAATATCAATTTTTTTCAAAATTTTTTCGAAATTTTATTAATTGTAGTACTTCGTTTTAGTTATTGTTTTTTGTTATAGTTATGATTTGTGCTGAAATTAATCAATTGTTTGATCATTAATTAGTAATTAATAAATGATATTTTGCCATAACTATTAACCATAGAGTTATCTTTTTATTGTTATTATCATTCTTCATTTAGCTTAACTTTTATTATTTTTTTTTGTTGAAGCAATTATTGCTTTATATTAAGGTGATTAATTTAATTTATATCATTTTTTTGAAATGGCTTAGAATGAATTCAAATTCGAAATGGCCTAAAATGAATTCATTTCTTGAAATGGCATTTTTTGAAATGACTTAAAATTTGATGAAAATGAATTAAACATCAGGAGTAGACTACTACCTGGTTAGGTTTGATTTGAAAAATTCCTATATTGGAAATGAATTTATTGTAATTAAATAAAGTGCTGTAATCAAAATCAGTAGAATAATTTTAATATTTCATTAAAAATATCATCAACGTTAATCAAATATTTTAATAATAAGCATAATTTGCATAATAAAAATGAAATTTTCATATATTCATATTACCTGATAAAAAACGAATTATTTATTATCATAAATCAAATAAGAATAAGTCATTTTGAATTGTTGAAAAGTGGTGTATTACACGATCTGAAATTGAAATAATGATGAAATCAACAAGTAGAAAAAAGCGTCAAAAATGGTTGATTACCTGATTTGATTTAATTAATTAGTTAATTAGGTTATTTTAGATAATTTCATTTTTTCTCGTTTTTTATTTGTCATTTTCTATACGTTCAAAATTTTTTAAGTAATAAATAAACTTTTAATTTTCATCTCTTATTATTTCTTTTTTCAAATAAAAACAATTTAACTCAAATGAAGTTTATTAAATTTAGAAATTAGTTAATTTAAAAAAAATCAATACAAATTAAATTATACACATCGTTAATATATTTTAATTAAAGCTTCTAATTTTCATTTTTTATTATTTCTTTTTTCAAATAAAAACAATTTAACCCAAATGAAATTTATAAATTAATAAATTAGTTAATTTAAAGAATTCAATACCATTCAAACTTTACACATAGTTTACATAATTCAGTTAAAATTATGCAAATAATATATTTTCTTGAAGTGAACGATGTATTAATGCATTATCATCATCTAAT